CCCAGGGAGGGAAGCCTTTGAAGCAGGAAACAGCCCTGGGGTGGGGGGGGGAAGGCTGAAGGAAGCGGGCGTGTTAATATTCACAGGGCAGCATCGGTCATCCGTGAGTTTTCTGTGTTTTCACGGCAGTTGGACAATCACGAGCCTAGCTTAGCAATCCCACGGCCTGGGAGGCAAGGCCTGCACTTGGCTTAACAAATTGTTGGGTGACCTTGGGCCACTCACCTCCCTCTCTGGGCCTCGGTTTTCTCGTTTGTAGCATGGGGGACTGTGACTGGGTCCTTTCCTACTGTGACTTTCAGGATTTGCAACCATGACAACTTGGGTCACAGATCCGTGTCCCAGCACGCTCTCACCCCGCTCCCCGCCCCATCGTCTGGGTGGCCTGGGAGGTGCGCAGAGACGCTGCAGAGCAGCAGTGACAGGAGCGTAATGCTAAGGGGGGGTGGGTTTTGCCTAAAGCCCCCTTTCTGGGGGGCAGTCAGGGCAGCCCAGGTGTGGACCAGGGCATTTGGGGTAGGGGGGCTGCTAACCCTTTATTCCTGGGGAGCCAGCTGGGTAGTACTGTTGGAAGGGCTCAGGGGTCAGGAAAGGGAAACATTTGGAGGGCTTGGGGGCAGGGCCTATTTATTGACTAGTTCAGAAATGTTTCAATGTTTTGACAAGCCGTGGGAGCCTATGGGAGACCTGTGGACTGCCGGCCCTGTGGTGTGGACGGACTGACTGACAGGAAAGGCTGCCTGGGCCCCACTGGCAACTTTCTTGCCGTTTCCACCATCAGAAAAATTCCTTTCCCTTGGAACTGCTGGCAGGTCACTGTTTCCACTTGGCCCAGCCTCCCAAGGCCTGTGGCCACAAGGGAGGCTTCCCCTGCAACCCCGGTCCACACACACAGCACCGTGCTTCGTGGCCTGGCCACTGCACGAACTAGCCCAGCAGTGGCCCGCAACACGGGCCGGGCAGCCTGGCGCTGGGGCTGCTGTGGCCGCCTTCCTCAGCCATCTTTCCTCCCCCTGGGGGCCTGCTTGGCACCCCACTCCCTCCTGGCCCCCAGGCCGCAGATGAGGATTTTCCCCTATGCTCTTCCTGTCTAGAGGAGGAGAAAGCTGGGGTGGAGCTGCAGGGCGGTGCTGGGGGGGGGGGGGGCGGGGGGGGGCGGAGCAGCCAGGAGCAGGTGCAGTTGAAGGGGCAGCTGGCAGGGGCTGGGGGGAGACCCCGGATTCTTCGTGCCGGGCTCCTTCTCTGCTTGCTGCCCCGACTTCCCTGTGCCGCAATTTCACTTTCTATTTTAAACAGTTTGGGTTGGTTGCTTCCCTGCCTTCCTGCTGGGTGTTTATAGTGAGGAAAATAATTGGTAATATTTGCACAGATGTGCTGGCGCTGCGGCTCGTCACGGGCACCTTTACCCAGGGGACCCTCCCTGCCCCCCGCACCCCTGCCAGCCTGAGAAGTCAGTCTGGGGGGGTGGTGGTGACAGCAAGCTCCCCCTCCTCCCGGGAGCCTCAGGCAGAGCTGGGTAGCAGGAGGCCGACAGTGCCCTAGGCGCGCCCGGAGGCAGGCCTCAGCAGGACGGGGAGGGGGCCCTGCCCCTGCTGCCGGGACTGATCCCGGACCCCAGGTTCCACGGGATGCGCCCTTCCTAGAGGGCTGTGTGGGAGGGAAGCCCCTGGGGGCTCTGTTTCTGATTTCATTTTCTCCTGCAGAGCCTGCATTTGCTCCTGGGGTAAAAGAGGGAGTACAAAGGCGGGGGAGCAGGACGGAGGTGAACACAGGAAATCATCTGGTTTCTTCGAACCATTCTGGAGGGCGGGGAAGGAGGCAGGTATCATGCGGGACACGAGGCAGGGCCTGGACCGCTGTGTGTGCCGCACACTGCCCGTTCTGGGGCCCAGCCAGACTGGCCATGGGGTGAGACCGCACGGCGAGCAGGGCCAGGGGACACGCCTCAGACACTGGGTCTCCTTCACCCCTTGCACACGTGTGTGCTGCGTGTGTGGGCACGTCTGTGAGTGTGGGTCTGCAGTATTTGTGTGCCTGTGGGCTGTACCGGTGTGTGTGTGCGGGACTGCCTGCCTGGGCCTGCAGGGATGTATGTGCATGCGTGTGGGTACATGGGTGTGCACATGTGGCTACATATATGTACCCCCATACGTGGGATGCATGTGCCTGGGTTCGGGTGCCCCCAGAAGCCCACGCAGAGACAAGGATTCAATTGCAGGTAGAGAACCCCAGATAGCATGGTAAGGGTAGTGAGGAAGACGGTCCGGGGAGGAAGGCAGCCAGGGAGGGCCATGGTCTCCAGCAAACCACTGCCATGGGCATCTGACAGTCAACCCGCGGGGGAGACACGGGAGCCAGAGGGCTCCCTTCCAGAGGTCAGAAAGCCCACCAACTCCCATCTGTCACCGGTTGACGCCTCTTGACTTGGCTGTTGGCTCTCTGGCACTTTGGCTTGTCTTTGGCCTAGTGTCACAGAGTTGCCTGGGAGCAGCCTCCCGTGTGTGGAGCTAAGTGCTGAGGGGATCTCTGTAACACCACCAGGTCCGCAGCTCTGTGGTGGGTGTGGCAGGTGCAGTGATGGCCCCCCCCCCTCAGGGCCCCTACAGCAATGATGGGCTTGGTCCTCTAGCTGCTACAGGGCCTGGCAAACAGCCTCAGGGCAAGCCCCAGCTGAAGAAAGCGTCCTCGCTCAGGCCATTCTCTTTTCCTGGGTGGCCCACATCCAACAACCATTTGCTGAGATGGTATAAAGTCCTAGCCCTTTGTCCCAACTTAGGTCAACCCTGAAGGGTATCCTGGCTCCAGACCCCACTGCATTTGGGGCTGCCTTGCAGCCTGACCTCCGCTTGCCCAGATCTGCCTCCTTTTTCCTTCCCCAGACGATCTCCCAAGGGCAGCCCGTCATACATGACTGGCACCGATCTCTGTCTCAGGGGCCTCCAGCCCGCACAGCACACGTATGTGTAAGCAAGCAAAGCTGCATCTCGCCAGCAGGCACGTGCAGGTGGGGGGTGAGCCTCTCCTACCTCCCCCAGGACCCTCCGTGCAGTCATTTAGGAACCATCTAGAGCTGGTCCCTCTGCCGGTCCAGGCAGGTTTCTGGGGACCTGGAAGTGAGAGGGTGCTGGAGATCTGGTGTGGAGCCTGGGGCCCAAAGTGGAGGTGGCTTCCTCCCCGTACTGTCCCAGAGCAATGCTCAGGAGGGGGAGTTCATGCAGGTATGTGGAGGGGGGTACAGGGGGTACATGATGGGACTTAAGAATGGACACCAGGGGACTGGGGCTCCTTGGGGCCCCCCTGGGCCCTGAATCCCCTCCTGATAGCTGCAGGCAGCTCAGTGAAACCTCACTCACCCCTCCCCCGACCTCTCTAGCCTAGAAGGGATTTTTGCTTAGGCATGGATGTTGTCTTGTCTCGAATGGAATCTGGTGCTGACTACCACTCTGCATCCAGGCTACTCTGAGCAGAGAGGTCCTGGGACAGGGGATTGGGGGAGTACCCTGACCACCCCTCCTGCTATGGCCTTCTGGAGAAGACTGCCAGAGCCCAGAGCAGCCACGATGGGGTTGGAGGTCAGTCTTGGAGGTCAGTGGGCTGTGGGTAAAGGTGGAGGCAGGCGGGGACACTAAGAGGCCCAGAGGGCACCCGGTGTTACAGAAATGTTTATTACAAGGATAAATATATACAACAATGGGATATTAAAACTGCTGATCCTGGGCCTGTGGGACTTCAGGGGATGCAGGGAGTGGGAGGGGAGGGTGATGGGACCAGGTGGTTCAGTGGTGGATTCACAGGTCTGGGCTCTGGATGCAGCCTGGGAACGACCGGGTCCCCAGATCCCGCACAGTTGGGTCTTTTGCTTGAGCCTACACAGTCCTGTCCTCCTGGCTGCCTGGATGCTTCTAAAATTCTGGATGTTCCCTATTGAGAGTAGCTCTGGGTAGGAATGTCGGTGAAGGAAGCTGGCCAGGGGCCCACCACTGACTCCCAGCATTCAGAAGTGGGAAGACATCACTGGTCTTTGAGACACATGCTGCCCAACCTCTTTCTCTGAGTGGGTGGAGCCCTCAGAAATGGCTGTAGTTTGGCTCTAGCCCAGATGCTCAAGGCAAAATCCAAACAGCTTGGGAGATTCCTGCCATGTCCCTGTTCATGAATACCAAGGGTTATGGGAAAATGAATTCCCTGGGAACATTTTCCTCATCCCTCTAGACCTTGCTCAAGGGACAACTCTTCCAGGAAGCCTTCTGAGCACTGCTGGCTGCTCAGCAGCCATGTTAGTCCTGTATCCCTCCCCTCACTTATACTATGTCCCAGAGTCTTTCCTCATTGCTTTCTCAGAGGGCCGGATCCGGGGCCCTATGCTTCTTGGCTGGTGGGCTGATGACACTCTCTCTCTGGGATGGCATTAGCTCAGGGCCACCCAGGAGGAGCCCAGAAGAGGATGATGGGGGTGGGGACTAGGGTTGGAGTGGAGAGGCCCATGTGGCCTGGCAATGTTTCAGGACTTTGTCATCACATCTGCCTTTTGTTCCTGCGCAAGGAAGTTCAGAGAACCTGCCTTGCTTGCACTTTACATGGCTGGCACGCTTCTTTATCTACAATCTGTGATGTCTCATAAACCCGTAGGGGAGAGCCAGAAAGAGCTAGGGGCCCCCTGTGTGTCTGTATATTTCCTTCTTGGTTGGCTGGGGTGTTGGCCTCAGGGGGCCAGAGAGTGGAGTTGGGGAAGCTCAGATTGTCCCCAGAGTGGAGATGCCCATTAGTGGAAAGAACTGAGTCAGATCCCCTGCCCCCAGGTGTCCTTTTCTCTTCAGGTAACCTCCAGTTTTTTCTCTGCAGAGAGGCTGGCCGAGCAAGGGAGTGGGCTGCTGGCAGGACAGGTGACCCTCTTGGGTGGGCAGAAGAGGCTGAGCTCCCGGCTAGCCTCAAGCCAGAGGTAGGTCCTGCCTGGATGGCTTGGTGGGCAGCCCTACTCTCTCCTGCTTCCTGACATAGCCTGGGCTAGTGGGTGGTGGCCTTGGCTTTGCTCTGGGACCGGGGGGCCAGGGACGAGAAGGGACAGCGGAGCCCTGCAGGTTGCAGCCTGGGAGGCCTCCCCCACAAGCTGGGGTGGCAGGTTGTCTTGAGGGGCCCTGGCGCTCCTGAAGGTCTGTGACCCCAAGTCCCATTGTCTCTTCAGACGGAGCCGGGGAGTCAGGATGCCAGGCCCTCCTGGCCACTAGCCATGGCCGTTCTGGGACATGTAAGCCGCCAGCGCCACCACCACAGCCACATAGAGACCGGCGCCCACGGCGATGGAGAGTGTGGCCAGGAAGAGGGCCCTGCGGGAGGTGGTGCTGGCCAGGCGGAAGTCTCCCTTGGAGATGGCCTTGCTGGTCTAGGGAGAGAGAGGCGCTGGTGAAAGGGGCATCCCCACCTCGGGCAACGTAGCCCCAGCCCACTGGGCTCCAACCCCCTCCTGCACAAAGGCCTCCCCATCCTCCTCCATCTTTGGTCAAGCCCTCCGGTGGAGGGAAGGGGCTGGAGCAGATGCCCTATGCCCCTCGTGCTCTTACCCCCTGGGAGAAGTAGAAGGCAGCAATGCCCAGGGGCCAGAAGCAGCAGAGCATGGAGAAGATAGTAAGGCCCAGGTGGTCCCTGGGGGGCAGCGCCACGAAGTTGTCTTCACTTTCACTGTCCGTCGAGGTCACATCACTCTGCAAAACACGAGTGGGTTTTTGCGACCATAGCCAGGATCACGGATGGCAAGCCTGTGGGGCCACGGGTAGTGTCGTCTGCTGTGGCTGGGAGTGACCGGGCTCCATGCTTTCTACCTGAAGCCTTAACTGTGACCCACTGATTCCCTTCTTAGGAATTGGCACAAGCATACAGAGAAAGAATGCAAGTGTGTACGTACAGGCACGTGCATCATTGGATTAGTAATTGTGAAAGAAGGGGAGAGTCTCAGTGCCCAATGACCAGGAGATCAAGTTATGAGTGATGGGAGAACGTACAATGGGACACCATGGAACCCTTAAAGATTGCCTTGTAGACAAATGTTAAATGACATGGAACCACACTGAAATATGTCGTCTAGAGAGAAGAACCTGGTGATAAAACAGTGTACAGCAAGATCTTTTGGGCAGAGTAGGGTGGGAGAAAGACATTGAATGGAAAATGACTAGAACATCATCTACTCAAATACTAGTATTCTCTTCCAGGGGTTTTCTGTACTTTTAAATTACTTATATAATTAAGCAAACAAGATCAATAAATGCTATTAAAAAAATTCAGTCGCCAACCCAAGTGTGTGTTTCTCAAACCTGTGCCAAAGTACTTTTTCTCTGGTAACATACAGATTCTTGGGCCCCAAGCCAGGTTCACCGAATCTCAACCCTTAGAGCTTGGCCAGGGGATCTGCATTTTGAACACAGGCACTCACCTCCACCTCCTCCTGGTCATTCTCCTGGCCCTGCAGCTCCTCCTGAACCCCGTAGGACACCGTCTGGATGGTGATATCCTCTTCCTCTTGGCCCGCTTCTGTGCACCGCTCTGTGGGCCCAGCCTGGAGCTCCTTGTTCTCTGTGAAGCTGGTCTCACAGCTGCTTGCTCTGGGTTCCTTGACCTTGTCCCTCCCCAGGAGGCAGCTGGGCCTGTACCAGGCCTCCACGGCCAGCTGCAGGGACCCCGGGTCCAGGAGCTGGTGGGGACGAGCGGAGCCAGCAGCACCCAGGAGGTAGGAGTAAAGCTTCTCTTGGCATGACCAGCTGGGCGAAGCCTCGCGGTAGGGGTAGGGGCCCTGGAGCGGGGCGGGGCTCTGAGGCAGCAGAGGATTCTGCAGTTCGCTCAGACTCTCCATGGTTCTGGGCCAGCTCTGGGGAAGGGAGCCTGCGCCAGCGGAGCCGTCCTCAGAGAGCCTGCTGGATGAGCAAGACAGACAGACGCTGAGACCTGGGTGCGCGGTGCGCGGCCGGAAACGTTTAAGAACACAGGCTTCCAGACCCTGCCTGTGGCACCAGCCAGCTGTGCGACCTTGAGCTGGCTGCTTCTCTTCTCAGGTGTCCTTTTCTTTGTCCACACAGGGGGCGCAGCAGCAGGACTTACCCCACAGAGCTGGCTCATTCGTCTAGCCTGCGAACACATAATGGTTGGCATCAGCTCCCTGCCAGGCACAATGCAGGTGTTGGGGACACAGAGGTGAGAAAGCCAGGGAGCAGGGAGAGGCGGGAGGAGGCACACTGTCTCCACAGAGCTCATAGCGCTGAGGAAACCTTCCCTGAAGGACAGCAGGGGTATAAGAACGAGCAAGGGACAGATGGACGCAAAGGCACAGGGAAGGGTCTGGCCCCGATGGCCGGAGAAAGAGGCCCAGCTGGCAAGGCAAAGGGAGGGGGAACACGTGTCCTGCAGAGGCCAGAGCAAGGATGGTAGCTCTGAGAGCCTGGGAGAAGGCTGGTGCCTCTCAGGGTGGAGAGGGAGGGGTGAGTTGGGTGTGGGGTCAGAGCACACAGCCCTGTTTAGGCCTAAGGGGGCTTCAGGGGTCTTGGCAGGAGTGACAGGATGCGATTTGGGTCTGAAAGTCTTCCCGTGGCTGTGGGTGGGGAGTGGCTTGGAGAGGGCTGGGCTCACTGTGACACCTGTAGGGGGCTTTGCCATGGCTTCAGGTCAGCTGAGGACAACTGGAACTCAGTAGTGGGGAGATATTGACAAGAACTGGTAGCAGGTGGGAAATTGGGTTGAGGGAGGGTTTGTTTGGGGGTTGGGTGGGACAGTGCTTAGCTCAGAGTCAGTGGGCAAGGGCTCACCGCCTTCCATTCCTCCCAGGGGAGGATGCTACTCCCCAGTTATAGTCTTAGGGGGATGAACCTTAAAATTATCTTCCCTCTAAGCAAATTGTGGCTTTGGGAAATCCTGGAGGTCTAAGGCAGGGCCTCCTGGGCACTGAAGTCTAGACTTGTACACGCCAGCTGGAAGCACAGATATGCTCATAGACTTGTGTGTGGACGCCCTGTCGGGCTACCTTGTTCTCTTCAGCCAGTCCTGAGGACTTGGGAAGGGCACAGAGTAGGTGCTCAGGGCTCTCTGAAGGAGGGAAAGGCAGCCTGTGAGTGTGTGTACCACAAAACTACACACACTCTGCGGTGTGGCAGATAGAAATGGGATGTGGAGAGAGGAAAGGGGCAGGCCAGGTGGCCCCAGGGACCCTGCACTCTCCCTCCCAGGTCCATAGTAGTTGAAGGGTGATAGAGTCATGTCTTGCCCTGGATTGGTAATCTGAAGATCGGAGAGTGGGTCCTGCCCTTGGTACTTTGGGAAAATAATCATGGCCTTCTGGGTTTCCCCAGCTGTAAAATACAGATGATAATCCCAGCCCAACAAGGCTGTTCTGAGGATCGGGAGATGGCCGAGACGCTGTTGCCCATTATAAGTGGGGGGGGCAGCTGCACTTACTTCTGGGCATCAGTCTCTACTTGTCCAGGGTCATTTCTGGCCCGACGGTAAAGGGAAAAGCATGGGGAGGGATTTCGGCCCCCCAGGGATGGGTTTGTCTCGGCCCTCTCCCCAGTCCCACACCCCATCAAGAATCCACAGCCAGAGGCTGGTCATTTCTCTTTCTGCCCCAAGAGAAGTGGCTGGATTCCAGAAAGCTGGTTTTTGGGAAACTTGCAGACAGAGGAGGGCCCCAGGAATAATGGGGAGTGGGACAGAGGGATGGGTTGGGGAGGGCCAGGCAAGACTGGAGAGGCCCATTGAGGGTGAGTCCATGGGGGTGGCAGGGTCCCCTGGCTGGCCTGCTAGGAGGGAGGATGGAGCCAATGGATCAAGAGGAGGCTGCCCAGGCCTCAGAGGCTCGGAGCCCTGACAGCAGTTCCCTCCGGGGCTGGGGCTCCAAGAATATCTAACAGAATCATGGAGGAACCCAAAGAAGGGCGTTGGGGCCCAAATGCCCAACTCTTCACCCAGGGGGCAAGGTGGGGCTGGAGACGTTGGGCTGTGCTGCACCTGGGGGCTGCGCGTGTGAAGCAGTGACACGTCCTTCCTAGGCTGTCACCGAGCTGTGGCAGGAGTTTCTCCGCAGGCGCAGACTGGACATCCATTCTCGGGAGGGGTGGAGCTCACACACGCAATGACGTCACTCCTTCTCCCTCCTCCTTCCTCTTGGCAGGGGGTCAAACATGCGGGGAGCCCCAGGGACTACAGTGATGTGCCTGAGCTCCTCTGGGCAGATTCCCAGGAGAATCTGGTCTCTTCTGACCCCCGAGGGCAGCTTTTGAGTTCCTGTCCCAGCCTCCCCCATCCCTTCCAGCGGATGTAACTCAAAGATATGCTGTCGAAGGGCCTGTGACCCTAAGTGTCATGGGTCTGGGAGTCAGGTATACTGGGGTTCCATCCCTCACCCACCCCCATGAGCTCTCTGATCTGGCACCTCCATTTCTGTATCAGGAATAAGAGGGGTCGGACGAAATGGTCACCGATGTCGATGGTGGCACTAGCACTCCATGATCCCACAGCCTCAAGGAGCCCCACAGAAGTCAACTACCCCTCCACTTGCTGCCATCCAGACTCAGGGATAGATGAGCCTGCTCAGAACCCATTGAGGAATGACTTTCCCGTCATGGCCCCTCGAGCACCCTGAGTGAGGCAGAGGGAAGGCAAGGCATCTCCTGGTCCGAGGGACACTGGAGCCATGACATCATCCCATGGCTTCCCAACTACCCCTTGGCTGCCACAGTCCGGCCCTGCCCTCCACCTCACCCACCCTATGGGATTCTAGGACAGGGCTCCCAAAGCCTCCCTAGCCGCTCCTCCAACTGGTCTTAATTAATGTCCCCTCTGCTGATATACCCAAGGGTCCTTGTCACCATCTCTGTGGCCAGAGGTATGTATGGGCCTTTCAGCAGGGTGCGGTGGGAAAGACCAGCCACAGGGCCCTCTAAGCAGACTAATGCATCAAAGTCACCTCTGCCCTATGCCTTGAAGGAGGGCTAGGAGGCCTTGGCCAGTCTCCTGTCCAATTCCCTAGAAGGAAAAGAGGGGCACTCGTGGCCAGGAATCAGGCCGCAGAACTCTGGAGACCTGGAAGCTCATTTGCAGGGCAGCTGTCCAGGGCAGGTTGGGGCAGCCGGGTCCCCGCTCGTCCCCCTGCTCTTGCCAGCCATCCTCTCTTGGTCAAAGTGGACTCAGCCGAGCTACTGAAATCCGGCCTCCCAGCCTTTCCCGGATTACACTCCCCTCCACCGCACTCCGATTGTGCCTTCGGCAGGGCTTCCCAGCTTCCTGCACGAAGACATACGATCCTGGGTTTCCACAATAGAGACAAACTGAAAGCCACCTGAATGCCCAACAATGAGGGGCAAGTAAAATAAATTATGGTACAGCAATCCGGTGGTACAATGCCTTCGAACGAGTTTACAAAGAGGAATGACATGAGAAAAATGCTCATTGCAGCTTGAGTGAGAGGGAAGAAAAGAAAGCGGTTCGCGCACGTAATCTAACTCCGCCAAAACGTCCGCAGTGATTATCGCCAGTGGTGGCTGCACAGGTGCTTTTCATTTTCCTTTTTATACCGTGTTCCCGCCCCCCATTTGCAATATTTATTTTTACATTGAGCATGTACTTCTTCTAAAGCAGAAAAAAAAAATTAAGTGCATAGATTTCTTCTGAGCCAAATTATCTAAAATTGGTTTTAAGCCTTTCCAGGCTTGGGGGTTCCTTCTGGGTTTAAAGGCTGAGCATCAAAGCCCACCGTGACACTGACAGACAGACAAACACACACATGCTCACATGTCCCTCCACTTCAATAAATCAACCAAGTTCTGGGCTCCAGTCCCTCCTCACAGTCCAGCCAAGGGTCACAGTTCTCGAGTAGGTCACGTTCGAGAGCACAACACGCCCCATAACCGGCTAAAGCCACATGAGAGTCCACCAAGCTGATCCTGGGGATCCAGCACTGAGTGCTGGCCAGAAGGAAGGGGTAGCAGGTCCCCCAGGCCCAGGCTCCTCTGCTCTTAGCCTGGCCTGACATTTTGGCCTGTTGGTTAGGGCTGCCTCTCCCTGTTCCTGAAGTAAGAGACCAGAGTTCAAAGCAGAGACATTTTCATCTCCACTGCTGCCTGGTCTCACCTGGGCTGTGAGTGTCTGCTGTCTGTGCTGTACTGGGCGCCTGCCTCCTTGCTGGTGAGCGTGTGTGTGTGTGTGCGCCCACACACGTGCACATATGTGCACACTGCTCCAGAGGGAAGACAAGAGATGTCTGGGATTCTGAAGCTCAGGAGATTGCTCCAGATCGTGCAGCTGGAGAGGGAGGAGAGGGAGAGGTAGATCTGGGAGGCCACAGCCCCGGGCTGTTTCCTTTTGAGCTGAGAACTGAGCCTGGCCCAGAGGTTTCCTACTTCCTGATTTAGAGATGGAGAGACACTGCCACCTCCAGAGCCTGGACAGGAAGCCGTCCGGGAATTACAGCCTCCCACCGGAGTCTGACTGTTCTGGAGTCCAGTTCCATACTATCATATCAGTTTGCTTATCTATAAAGTGTATGGAAGGGTAGAAGGGGTTGATTTTTAACAGCTCAGCTCCACATGACCGTGGGATTCTCCTGGGAGAAGAAGAACAATAATTTAACATTTACTGAGCCAGGCACCGCCCAGCTCTACACGCTCATCTGACCCTGTAGTTTCTTGTGGGGGAGTCGCAGGAGGGAGGGGCTTCCTCTTCTAGCCACGGCAGACTAACCCGTGTCGCACTAAACTGCCTAGAACCGTTAGAAAAACTAGGGAATGATAGGAAGGCATACAAAATCACCATGGAAGCAAAATCCCGGAGGAAAGAGAAACCCTCTGAGGTGAGGCTGACCCTTGGCTCACTTTAGCTGTATCAGAGGCTGGGGAGGAAAACGGGAGATCAGGGCCTATTAA